AATGCTTCTTACCTTTTTTTTGCTTTGTTTTGATTTTTAGATTGCTACATAAGACTTTCTTATTTAAAGTTTAGTTTTAGTTTGTTTTAAAAAGCTACAGGTAATTTTCAAGGTTTGATGGAATTTTTAATGGAAGCCTTATGTAAGTTGAGTGAAGTGAAACTGGTAAAGGAGATATTACTTTATTTGTAGTGCATTCAAGATTATATAATTAGGTTTAAAGATGAAATGTCTGATTTGTAAAATATTTAATGTTATATCAGACTTATATAAAATAAAATTTTCTGTGTGAGAACTGTTAAAATGCATTTGATTTTTAATGAATGTTCTACTGAATGATTTATGATGAATTTTTTGTCTTTTAGTCTCTGTAGTTTATCTCAATATATTAATAAAAAGGTTTGTTCTCACTGTAAAGATTCATTTTTATTATGTTTTATACTTTTTTTTTTTTGTACTGGGGATTGAACCCAGGGTCACTCAATCACTGAGTCACATCCCCAGCTCTTTTTTGTCTTTTATTTAGAGACAGGGTCTGTCTCACTGAATTGCTTGGGAGCTCACTAAGTTGCTGAAGCTGGCTTTAAACTCATGATCCTCCTGTCTCAACCTCATACTATGCTCATTATTTTATTCAGCCATAAATTATGAATGCCTGCTGTATCCCAGGTAATCAGCTGGGTGCAAGGAATTAATCATTGGACATGACTCATATGAAAGACTGGACAAAGACTCTCATGAGATTTATAAGTAGCAAAGAAAATAAGTGTCAAGTAAATAGTTATAATTTTGATAAATGTGATACAAAATTACAAGATAAAATGCCAGCATGCATGACCTAAACTATTCTGGGAGTATCAGGAAAAGTTCTTCTGAGAAAGTAAGCTTCATCTGACACAAAGTGTGAAGTAAGTAGGAGTGAGGTGAATGCTAGAGAAATATTTCAGGCAGAGTGTGTACTAAGCTGGTAAAGTCATAGAAACTTCAGAAGTGAAAACAAACTTACATGATTATAACATAAGGATTCCCGGGTAAGTGAGAGAATTAAAATAAAGGACTGGATTTTCATTAAGACTAGCCATGGTGATAACACTATCTCAAAAGACTTGATTTTTTTTTTTTTAGTTGTAGATGGACACAATACCTTTATTTATTTATTTTTATGTGATGCTGAGGATAAAAATCAGTGCCTCATACATGCAAGGCAAACGCTCTACCACTGAACCACAACCCCAGCTCAAAAATTGAGGTTTTTATGGGAGGAGTTTACATGATCAGATTGAGGCTTTTAGAATATCATTTTAGTTACAAGACTGGAGGGCAAAAGTGATTGTAAGGCAGCTAGAAGGTTTTGTCAAAAGAGAGATGATCGTAACTTGGACCAGAGAAGGAGTAAATATAAGTGAATAATTTTTAGAGGTATTTAGGAAATAGATCAACATAACTCTCTGATTGGATTTTGGATAATATGGTGACATCAATTAAGAACCAGGCTAAATTTTTCCAAACATTTGGCTATACAAGAGAGTAGAGAAGAATGATGTAACTGGAAGAGAATGTGGTTTCTCCAGAAGACTCTTTATTTTTTCATTACCATGCAATCTTTTTTTTATTCTACTGGAAAATGGCAAGTCAAAATTGAAAGTGAAGATAGAGAAAAAGAGGGTAATAACATTAAGAACTTGGTATGTCAGAGGATATATAGACTCCTTTCAAAGATGTAAGAATTAACTTTTCTAAGAGAGCACCAGCATTCTTTCAAGAAGTTAATGCACAGAGGATATATTTAAATGCTGGTAGGTTTGTAGTGGTTATGAAATGGTATGCCTAAGGTTTCTTGAAAGCATGTGAAGTGGGGGAGGGGGAAAGTGATGAGCAGAAGTGGACAATGAAGATGATTTGAATGATCTGGTCCAAGTGACTATCATCTCTCCTTTGACAAAACCTTCTACCTGCCTTACATTCACTTTTGCCCCCAGTCTTCAATGGTAACTAAAATGATATTCTAAAAGTCCAATCTGATCATGTAACTCCTCCCTTAAAAATCTCCAGTTTTGAGCTGGGGTTGTGGTTCAGTGGTAGAGCGTTTGCCTTGCATGTGTGAGGCACTGAGTTTGATAATTTGGCTAGCAAAAAAGAGGATTTCTGTGGGTTGTTGACAGTTGTATGAATTTTCTGCAGCCTAACAGTCTAGGCATAAGCATGAGAAAGTAATGGAAGTTTGAGGTAATCAATTTGGTTACAGTAGAGGATCCTCATTAGAATGTGTTCATAAGTAAAACACTGATACATCAGGCCCTCATTAAAAACTGTTAGCTTTATCATTGTCTACTAAAGATTTTTGAACATGTAATAATATGCATTGTTTTACGTGCTATTATTAAGTGAGGTTATAGTTTGGGTCTTAATTGTCCCTGAAAGGAAAGGTCCTTATGGCAAAGTGTTGATCTACAGCATGGTGCTATTGGTAGGTAGTAGAAACTTTAAATTGGTGGGGCCTAGTAGAATGTCTTCAGGTCATCAAGGGTATGCCCTTGGGGGATTGTGGATCATAGTCTTTGTGGTCTTTTTCGATTCCTGCCCATGAGGTAAGTGGTTTTGTCATGATGTGCCATCATAGCCCCAAAGTAATAGGACAAATTGATCATGGACTGAAACTCCTAAAATTGAGCCAAAATAAACTTATAAGTTGATTATCTCAGGTATTTGTTCTAATGACAGAAAGCTGACTTAACACAAGTAGCTATTGATTTGGTCTTGCTGAACAGAAATAAAGGTTTAAGTCAAGAATTGAAAAAAATACAGTTGGGAATGGTGGTATACATTCGTAATCCCAGCTGCTTGGGAGGGTGAAACAGGATGATCACAATTTCAAGACCAGCCTGTGAAACTTGGCAAGACCTTGTGTCTCTCACCCCCCATCCTCGGCCAAAAAAAAAAAAAAAAAAAGGAAAAGGAGTTCAGGGACAGAGAAACTCTGGATTTAATCCCCAGTACTGCAAAAAGAAAATAAACATACAGGTACAAAAATTATAGGGAAGATCAAACAAGAATCCTGACTGGCAGAATCATGGTACTAATACAGACATTAGGATAGTTTTGATTAGGAGAATTTTAGAGCCTGGCAGCAAGATAATGTAAAAGTATCTAATATTAAATGTACAGCTAAAAATGTAATTAATACAGACAAAAGGTACATATTTACACATTTTCAGGGCATTGTGGAGAGAAAAACAGCAGCAAAACAGATAAGTAGAAAATGCCATCATCTGACTAGGAAAAGGGACCTGAGACAAGAAGTGCAGTGTTCTAGAAGGTAAGTAAAAAGGGTTTAAAATAAGGAAAAGGAATGGATCTTCAATGATGCCAATTTCAGTTTATCTGTCAAGTTCACTTAGGAGGTCATTTGTAGAGCTCTGAAGTTTATAATTTCTTTCAAAGATAACTAGTAGGCTGGAGAAATAACTGAGTAGAAAACCACAATAAGTGCTGGCCCTAGGTTCAATTCCAGCACGTTCAAAACAAAACAAAACAAAACAAAAAAAAACCCCACAAACTAATCCATAGGATTTCCTACAACTATAGGAAATAACCAACTGCTTTCACTGTTTCTTGAACTAGAATTAGTTCCCTTTGCATTCCTACTTTTAAGGATTGGAAATGAAGATCAGCTGTAAACAAGTTCCCACTGATCTCATTTTTCAAGACACACTACTCTGCAAGAAATGAGATCAGAAAAAATCAGCAAGTAAAGCCATGAGCTTCAATTTTCCTGGGAGGGGTTAAGACAGTTGTCAGCTGGGGTAAGATTTTTGGCCCTCAGGGAATTTTCTACTGGTATCTAGTGAGCAGAGACTGGGGATGTTACTAAATGTCCTATGCTGCATAGTGCAGCCCCCTACAACAAATTACCTGGCACAAACCATCAACAGAACCCACTTCAATCTAATGTATGAAATATGATATGTCAAGAGCTTTGTAATGTTGTGAACAACCAATAAAAAAAAAAAATAAAAAATTAAATAAAAAAAAATAGTGCAGAGGTTGAGAACCTTGGGCTAAGGTGATTGGCGACTCCTCCCGTTTTATTAAGATTTCTGATGATCCTACTACTTACACAGGTTTTTGTTAAATGTGCAATCATGGCACAAAAAATAAAAATTTAAAAAAAAATAAAGCACAGCAACAAGGAAAGAGCCAATTAAAGAAGGTAGGTCAGCGACTGCATGTATTAAAAGTAGAGCCTAGAGATACAGGGCTCCTTGATTCAATCTGGATAAGACCTGGATTAAAGAGCCTGTAGGGAGGCATCTGCGGTTAAATCGAGAGAAAGTAAGCAACTGGGATCAGAAACCTAAGTTCTTCGGACTTCCAATCGCAGGCGATCTAGTGCGTGCTGGTCGTTAACACCAGTCTCGCACATTTCTTCATCTACAATGAAAGATTTTAAGATAAGGGATCCTGAAAAACCCATGAAACTTATGCATTCTCTCCACACAAGAATGCCTCATAATGTAACAGGGGTTCGCTTGATGCTTTGACTATATCCCTTGTGGCTTTGAAACTTAATTTTTTTTTTCTTTTTCTCAACCATATTCTCCCCTACATTCTTTTCCCCAACCTTCTCCTTCCCGATCTCTTCCTTGATCTTCTTTCCCCCTAACCTTCTCCTTCCTGATCTCTCCTCTATGAAAGTCCCTCTGTTGCTGCTGATGGGCAGAATCACAGCCTTTGGGACAGGAGTTCCGTATTTCTCCTTTGCTAGCAAAGCAATAAACCATCTTTTTCCTCTTTCTCAAAGCCGCCTCCTTATTAGATTGGCATCGGGGACAAGGACCCAGCTTTCAGAAACAATAACACGAACCCTCACGGGCACTCTCCGGAGGAACTGCGGCGCAGCCAACCCGTGGGAAACCTCTATCACAGCAAACGTCCTCCGGGAGACTGAGCTGCCTGGAGCCGCGCAGCGCGCAGGCGCAGAAAGCAGTACGCGTGGGACCCGAGGAGCGACTGGGCGCGCTTGCAATTTCCGCCCGTTCCGCGGGAAATCCTGTGTCATCGCCAACGAAGTGCTTCCTGGAGCGCGGCCCAGGTCACGAATCATGTGACAGCGCTTTGCGAGGAACCTGTTTTTGGAGCCTTCTCTGTACAGCTTTTGAACTAATCCAGCAGTCAAGAAACCCAGGTAACTGGCGCCGCTCTGCCTGGTGCTCAGGCCTGGGCCCTGGGGTGAAGTGGGTGGTGAGTTTGAAGAGGAGAGGCCGCCACTTCTTCGCGTTGGGCCTCGACTTCTGGGTGCGGGGGCAGGGGTGCAATGGGCGAAGGTGAGACATCCAGGCTGGGTACTGGACCGGGTGTTGGGAAGTTCCGACCCCCTCGCATAGCCCCCGTGGTCCCAGATCTAGAACTGCGGAATCATGCTCGGCCTTGACGAGGACTTAATCCCCCGTTTAATGTGGGGGCACCGGGAGGGCGAAGAAGCCTAGAGGGGAGAGTCACAGGGAGTTTCTCTTCCAGGCGTGGAGATTGATCCTGCGGGAGAAAGGGGTTCGTCATGGCGGATGTGAGTTGATACCCCCCACACACGAGGAAGGGCCCCGGGGGCGTGGGGAGGCTACTGAGCACCAAGAGGTAGAGCTTCCCAAACAGAAATTTTGTTTCGTTTTTGGTCTCCCTTCCGGGTTAGGATCAGGTGTGAGACTAATATGATTGGATGTTAAGGGTCCTGGGTTTCTGGTTGAGAAAATTGTATTTTCCCCTTTCCCAATCCTCCTGGGCCTTAAAAAAAAAAAAAAGGCTGTCTATATTTACCATTTGAAATTCTAAATGATGCCTTTCCTGTCAGTATGTAGGACATGTGCTATGGATCCTTTTTTTAAAGTCAGCAGTCATGATAATTTCATTAGCTGCATTGTACGAATCGCAAGTCAAGTTCTGTGTGTGTGTGTGTGTGTGTGTTTAAGATGGGAGCAAAAGTAAACTGGTAGTGATAACATGGAATAAAATGATCATTCAGGTTTGGAGAAGAGCACGGATTAGAGATTTGGAAAACAGATATGAGTCATTTGTAGGTACAGATTACGATTATATATGGTTTGACAATGAAATCAGGTGAGGGTGTGTAATAAAACAGATTATAAAAGTTTTCTGTTTCTTTAGTCCTAAATATGTTCTCTGCAGAATAAACACTTGATATGTTGTCTTTTTCTTTTAGTTATATGAGGAAGCTAAAACTTAGAGAAATTAATTAACTTGTTTAGGATCATTAAGAAGAACAATGGAGCTGGGCCCTGTGGCATACACCTGTAATCCCAGATGCTGAAGAGGCTGAGCTAGGAGGATCACGAGTTCAAAGCCAGCCTCAGCAAAAGCGAGGTGCTAAGTACTCAGTGAGACCCAGTCTCTAAATAAAAATACACAAAATAAGGCTGGGGATGTGGTTCTGTGGTTGAGTGCCCCTGAATTCAATTCCTGGAAAGTCTGTCTATGGATGTAGAAAAAAGTTCATAATGTATTCCTTTTTTGTTGTTGTTTTTGTGGGATTTTTTTTTTTTTTGGTACCACAGATTGAACTCAGGGGTACTCCACCACTAAGCCACATCCCTAGCCCTCCCTAGCCCTATTTTGTATTTTATTTAGAGACGGGGTGAGTTGCTTAGCGCGTCACAGTTTCTGAGGCTGGCTTTGAACCAGCGAGTCTCCTGTCTCAGCCTCCCAAGCCACTGGTATTACAGGCATGTGCCATGGCACCCAGCTCATAATGTATTCTAAACCAGTAGCTACAGGAGTAAATGTATTATGAAAAGTATGAACTGGCTTTACAGCTAGTACTAATACATACATCTCAATAAACTTTAATAGTTATATAGGTTCTATGATTATCTATTCAACCAATAATGAATTATTTCTCTAAAGGCTTAGAGCAAAAGGTTAACTTGCTCTAAGTTATAAAACTAGTAAATATAAAAATCAGAAATAGAAAGATAAAATGCCAGCAAGAAAAGTTACGAATGATGACTTAAGTTTCCTGAAAGGTGGATAGGACAAGACTAGAAAAGCAGTGGAAGCTATATAATATTACTTTTAAACATTCTCTTTCAGGACCTGAAGCGTTTCCTGTATAAGAAGTTACCAAGGTAAGAAACCAATTATTGCATAACTTCCTCATAGCATGTTAATTTTATGAGGCATATTATTTCTCTAAAGATATTTTGTATGATATTTATTATCACTTTTAAATATCTAACATTACTGTAGGTATCATAAGTGGTTTTCTTTGAGTTTGCAGATAAATAACATGAGGCCTAGAGGAGTTGTGTGGCTTTTCTATCCATTTGCTAGCAATGACATAATTTCATTCTTTATGGCCAAGTAAAACTCTGTTGTGTATATATTCCATATGTTTTTAATCTATTCATCTTGATGGTCATCTGGGCTGGTTCTATAATTTGACTACTGTTAATTGTGGTGCTATAACATTGATGTGGCTGTATCGCTATAGAATGCTGATTTTATTTCTTTTAGATAAATATCAAGGAGTGGGATAGTTGTGTCCTATAGTGGTTCTATTCCTAGTTTTTTGAGAATCTCCATACTGCTTTCCAGAGTGGTGGTATTAATTTGCAATCCCACCAACAATCTATGTTATACCTTTTCCCCATATACTAGCCAACATTTGTTATTACTTGTGTTTTTGATAATTGCCATTCTGACTGGAATGATATGAAATCTGTGAGTGCAGGTTGGTTGGTTGGTTGGTTGGTTTGTTACCAGGGATTGAATCTAGAGGTGTTTTACACTGAGTCACATCCTAGGCCTTTAAAAAAAAAAAAATTAAAAAACTCTAAATTTTTTATTTAAATTTAAAAAACTCTAAATTTTTTTTGAGACAGGGCCTTGCTAAGTTGTTAAAGCTGACTTTGAATTTGCAATCCTCCTGCCTCAGCCCCCTGAGCTGCTGGAATTATAGGCATGTGTCACTGCATCTGACCTGATTTTTTTTTCTTTTGAGATATTTTTGTTTATTTCTCTGGTTCATTTATTAATTTGTTTATTTGGGGGTTTTTTTGGTGTAAGCTTTTTGAGTTTTTTATGTTTTGGATCTTCCCTATCAGAGGAGTATCGGGCAAAGATTTTCTCCGATTCTGTAGGTTCTCTCTTTATGTTCTTAATGGTTTCCTACTTTTAAGGGGAAACTTTGCTGTGCAGAAGCTTTTTAATTTGATGGCATTCCTCTTATTGATTCTTGGTTATATTTCTGGAGTTTTAGGGGTCTTTTTAAGGAAGTCAGTGCCTGTACCTATATGATGATGGAGTGTTGACCCTATGTTTTCTTCTAGCAGTTACAAAGTTTCTGGTCTAATTTCTAAGTCTTTGATCCACGTCATGTTGAATTTTGTGCAGGATGAGAGATTGGGATCTAGTTTTATTCATGTACATATAGATATTCAGGATTCCCAGCTCCGTTTGCTAAGAAGCTTATCTTTTCTCCAACATATATATTTTTTAAATATTCATTTTTTAGTTGTAGTTGGACATAATACCTTTATTGTATATATTTTTATGTGGTGCTGAGGATCGCACCCAGGCCCTCACATATGCTACATGAGCACTCTACTGCTGAGCCACAACCCCAGCTCTCCACTACATATTTTTGACACTTTTGTCAAGTATCAGATAACTGTAAGTTTGTCTCTTGTGTCTTTGTCTGTCTTTGTGTGTTTGTCTCTTGTGTCTTCCATTCTATTCCACTGGTCTTCATGTCTGTTTTGATGCTAATTTTTTGTATAAAGTCTGGAGATCAGGTAATGTGATGATGCCTCCTGTGTTGCTCTTGCTCAGGATACAAGGCCTATATACAATCTACTTCATGTACTATTTTCTAAATTAAGCTCTTGTATTAAAGTTAACAAACTTTCTTTTAGATTTTTACTAATTCAAAGGACTTTGTCACTTATTTAAAATTCATATTTAGTTTAATGTAGAAAATGCCTTTCTTAGCAAGTGCTGCTTTCCTCTGCACTCTTACAGATAACTTAGACTTGCTCAGTTGAGGGCACAGAGAGGTATATGATTCTCATGTTTGACAAGGAAGTGATTCAGAACTTATTGGATAACTTTAAAGTAATATAGCAGAATTTATGGTGAAAATTTTTTCTTATCTCCCAAATCTGAAGTTATAAAAGGTTGTGTATGTCAATGTATTTTTGTAGATAGGGGAAAACACCTTATTTGAATTTTTGCTTGAATTTCCAGTGTGCTTTACTAATGGAATATGCCTATAACTCGCCTGATTTCAGATCACTGGAAATTAATGACATTATTTTCTGGTTTTGAATATAACTATTATATTTTTCTCATGTATTCAGGAAAAAAATATTGAAGTTTTAAACTATGAAGTAATTGATTTTGTGTTACTATAATGCTTGAATTCATTTGTATTCTTTTCCTCCTAATATTGGCAAACTATAGAGACAAATTGTTGATTCTGTTTTTAACCCAGTAATCAACAATACAGGAAGTCCTAGCTTTGCATGCTGATATAGGTCTGTAGAAATGACAATACATGCTGAAAATAATTTAGAAATCAGGGAAAATAGCAATTGTTCTATGACCTTTAAATTTTTAAAGAACATTAAAAATTGTCTTATTGTTACTTATAAATATTTAGGGGAATGAAAACAAATAGTAAAATGAATAATTGCTTAGTACAATAATTTAAAACATTGGGGACATTGAGAATTAAGTTATTGTTTTGGGGTTTTTTTTTTTGGCAAAAAAGTGTATCAAGAGTAAGTTTAAAACAGTGTTTAATTCCAGTGGCTTGAGAGGCTGAGGCAGGAGGATTGCAAGTTTGAGGTAAGCCTCAGCAACCCAGTGAAGCCCTTAGCAACTTAGTTAGACTCTGCATCGAAATAACAAAATTTAAAAGGGTGGGGTGACAGGTTGGGGGTGTGACTGAGAGGTAAAGAGCTTCTGGATTCAATCCCCGGTACCAAAAAAAGAAAACATAAAAAGTAAAAACAGTGTTTAAATGTTTTTCATTTACTTTCAGAGAAGGAGCTAGATTCTTTTCTAGATCTTGGTGAATTGTCATAGTCTAATAATTTTGGATTAGCTGCCTACTTTTATCCTTTGTAATTTCACGGTTGTGAAATATCTGAGTCCTTTAATGTAATTTCTAAAAAAATTTTTTAAATTTTTTTATTATTTTTTTTTCCAGAATCACTTTCTCTGGGACTTTTATCATATCTGGTTTCCTAATTTATGTCATTAAATTTACCTTCACTGAGTGCCTCTGGCTATGTATCTAGAATCCCCCTAACAGTGATGGAGTCCACATTCCCTTTGTTAGCTCTTTCTTCTGTTAACTATTTACCATCATTTTAGATTTCACTTATAGCATTTTAACTTTTCATTCCCTTTCTGTAGTTCATCTTTGTTGGCTACTTGCCTCTTTAGATTATCTATTTTTTTTAATGTCATATAGTTTATACTGGGAGACAAGGGCTGTATGCCTTGTTATGTCTCTTTGTAAACTGCATGATAAATGCCCAGTGACCAGTCATGAACACATTTTGAAAGAAGTGATGTGGATGGTTACAGATCACAGAGTACATCTGTTAATTACATGGTTATCCTGATGGTAATGTGAAGAGTTAGCAAACTTTGTAGCTTATGCAGTAATTCAGTAATTATGTGAGGGTAATTGAAATTCCACCCATGTTATGGGCAGGAGGTGGTATTAACTAAATCATAATAACTGAAAAATGCAAACTGGAACTAGCAAAAATGAAAGCTTTCTGTATTTATCTGTAGTTATCTTGTTAGAACCCTGGCATTTGAAAGGTGCTAAATTGAGGGGGTGGGAGAACACTCTACTATACTGGTGACACAATATGGGAATAAAAGCATAATTTATCCACTTAGAAGACTTACCAGTTTTAAAATGCTATTTTAAGAGTCTATTTGTTGAAGAAGCAAAAAAAAAAAAAATTGCATTCAGTGTTTTTAACTTAGTCACCATTGAGATGCTCTTTATTCATTTGGAGACCTAATAAACAAAGCAATAATTAATTCTTTTTTTTAATTTGTTCTACTTAGTTGTATATAACAGCAGAATGCATTTCAGTTGATAATATACAAATGGAGTGCAACATTTCAATTCTCATGGTGTAGAAATGCACCATTGGTGTATTCATACATGTGGCGAGGGTAATGATGAGCAATAATTAATTCTAATTACATGGTCTGATTATAAATAACAAAATTGATTTGGACATTGAGGATCTCACATTATCAACTTTTGATGTACTGTGGCACTGGGCATGATGAAGCTGTCTTAATAATTGTTTAAAAAATAGGGCTGGGGATGTGGCTCAAGCAGTAGCGCGCTCGCCTGGCATGTGTGCGGCCCGGGTTCGATCCTCAGCACCACATACAAAGATGTTGTGTCCGCCAAAAGCTAAAAAATAAATATTAAAATTCTCTCTCTGTTCTCTCTCTCTCTCTCTCTCAAAAAAAATTGTTAAAAAATATATTAATTTTATTTCTGAGCAATGTTTAAAGTTCATCAAAAACAGTTGAAAAGTAATTGACAAGTTTGAATTCTGACATCTTTTATCTTTTTAAAAATATTTTTAGTTATAGATGGGCACAGTACCTTTATTTTGTTTATTTATTCATTTTTTTATGTAGTGCTCAGGATCAAACCCATTGCCTTAATGCTTGCTAGGCAAGCGCTGTACCACTGAGCCACAACCCCAGTCCTCTTTTATATTTTAACCAAAGGAAAAACATCAGATGGTAGTGCCCTTACAAGAGGTATATTCAGTGTAAGAATATTTGTAAAAAAATAATTAATTCTTCCATAATGACAGAAAAGGAATTAATGTCATCTTTTTTTTTTCATAATGACTGAGTCCAGTTTTACTTGTGTATTGTGATCTTATCTTAAAGTAGGCTTACTGTATTCCAAGAACAAAAAGAAGGAAGAAACAGTGTGAGCACTTTGATTTGTTGCTAGATGTATGGATTTGAATCTTTAGCTATAAACAGATTCCTCAGCGCTGTGTGTGCTGTGCTTCTCCACAGCCAAGTCAGTCAGCTACAGACATTAATAGAATGTGTGCTTTTGAATTCTGTTAAGTATCATTCTTGGATTTGTATTTTAAAATCTGGCTATGACCCAAAGAAGCATCAGGCTTTTATAATCACAACTTGTCATTGTTTGAAAATAACCAAATATTTCATAATTATATGAAAAAGCTAAGTATAAAGTCTTTGTGGGTAGTTAGGGAAGGGAGCTTGGAGATTGAACCAAGGGCCTTTATTATACTAAGTTCACACTTGCACATGCTCCACCACTGAGCTATACCCCCAGCCCCAGTATGTTGTCTTTGATTACTGACTAATATTGTTTTTAGAAAAAGAATGGTTATTTTATTTAGAGTTTAGATTTCTACAGAATGTTCCATAAAATTTAATTTATTCCTTGTAAAAATATAATGTCTATTAGTGAATCACACTTATTTTTAATCTTTAGTAAATCTGTTTATGGAGCTCTTTGTTTACAGTCTGTAATTGAGAACAACTTGTATCTTTATATTTGTGACCTGATTTCTAAAAATGGTTAGTTTAAGAGTATAAGCAAATTGTTCTCCTTTCTTGGACTTGTATTTCTGTAATTTGCAACCCATTAAGAAGAAAATCCTTTTGCCAGTTCCTGTAATCCCAGCAGCTCCGAAGGTTGAGACAGAAGGATCTGAGTTCAAAGCCAGCCTCAGCAATTGCAAGGTGCTAAGCAACTCAGTGAGACCCTGTTTTTAAATGAAATATAAAATAGGGCTGGAGATGTGGCTTGATGGTTGAGTACCTCTAAGTTCAATCCCTGGCACCCCCCACCCCTTACATAGATAGATAGATAAATTTTATTTATTTTTAAATTTTTAGTGTCTAGTGTTGGGGATTGAACCCAGAGGCACTTAACAATAAGCTATATTGTCATCTCCTCCCTACCCCCCACCCCCGCCTTTTTAAATGTTGAAACAAGGCCTCACTAAGTTGCTAGGCTATCTCAGATTTGGGTTCCTCAAAAGATTGGGGAGACTCTGCTTCCCCAATCTCTGGGATTACAGCTGTATACTACCATGCCCAGCAAATTTTTTCTTTTGGTGCATTAGTTGCTATTTAAGTTAATTACCATGGATATTAGGGGAAAAAAGTTACCTGTTGTGGCACAAATTTTTCTAAACATTTTTAAAGTACTTTTTTTACCTCTTTAAATTTGCTCATTTTTTGAGTAGGCAATATAAAGTTCAAAAAACAGGTACAGAAATTAACTGAAGAGCCAGGGATGGGTTCAGTGGTAGAACACTTGCCTAGAATGCCTGAGGCCCTAGGTTATTTCCCTAGCACTGCAAAAGAAAATATTAACAGGAACATAGAGTGAAAAGCTTCCTATCCTTGTGCTCCAGCCACATAGTTTCCCTGTTAGAGATGACTGTTGTTATTTTTTATGTACCTACACTTAACAAGGAATGTAAGCATGTGTATTTATACACACAAAACAAGCCTTCACATTACATTATATAAGTTGTTGTTTCTTTTACACATTGTATTCAAAACTTGATATTTTTTCACTTGGAAGAATATACTTTGAGATTATTCCCTCCTGGCACACAAAGAACTTTGTTGTTTAAGTCTACATAGTATTACATTGTATGTCATTGTATGTGTATATCATTATTACTTATTTAACTTGCCCTTCCTTTCAAGTTATGTTGCTGTTTATAACTTCACAAAATGATTTGCATGTGTGATTATATAGGATACGTGTTTATATGACCTAGTTTTGAGATTACAAGAATATATTTGTTTTATTATTTTTCTAAAATATATTTTAATCATAGATAATTTCAGGATTAAACAGTATCAGTAATGATATAGTATAAAATAGTATAATACACAGTTACTTCATCATTGTTTTTTATTTTAATTAGTTATACATATTAGAAAGAATGAGAGAAAGGGAAAGGTGTTTTTCTTTTTTTTTTTTTAATCCTATAACCCTACTAATAACCTTTTCTGCTTAAATAAACCATGGAATGATAATCCATTTGCAATTTTAATGGAGAATTAGCTTTTTAGATCTTTACCTAAATAATACAAACATGTAAAGATTTTAAACATGTTAGTGATACAGATTCATTCAGTTTTTGAAATAGTTTTAGCAAACACATAGGAGCATAGTATATTAATAATTGAGACCTCAGTCATTTTTTCAGAAATACATGAGAATTACCATTATGAGTTTGAGGTATGTATTTTGAGAAAAATGGAATATTTTATAATATTTTACCTTTTTTCTTTTTCTAGTGTTGAAGGACTCCATGCTATTGTTGTGTCAGATAGAGATGGAGTACCTGTAATTAAAGGTAAACATGAATATTTGCTCTGGACTAAAAATGTATTTACATCTGATTAGTGCAGAAGGCAAATATATAAAAATTATTTCAACAAATTCAGAAGATGGTCTAGTTCTAGGAGAAATCTTTGCTTTTAGACTTTAGAATTATAAGGTTAGAAGTCTCCTGGTTTAGTTCTTTACTTTTATAAATGAAGATGATCAAATGTAAAGAGTACATTGCTGATCCAGAGTTGCACATGAATCAGTGACAAGGAAATACTAGAAACCATCATTTCCTGATGTGTAGTCCAGCATGTTTTCTAACCCACCACACAACATGGGTGACCATAGCCAGGCCACTGCCCATTCTTAATTTTGTAATGAGGACTTTGAACAGAATAATCTCTGATGATTGTTTAGCTCTAAGGTTCTCCCAAGGATCTATGTAATGCCTTGCACTCAACACTTATTAATACAGTCAACTCCATTCAGGCCTTTTTTTTTTTTTTAGTTGCTCATGACAATAAAGTGAGAAACTTGAAACAAGTAGCCACTTGTGGGATTGATTTATTTAATTTTTTGTGAATGTGCTAAGGATTGAATCCAGGGGTGCTTAACCACTGAGCAACATTCCCATCCCTTTTTTTATTTTTTATTTAGAGACAGGGTCTCTGAATTGCTAAGTACCTCACTACGTTGCTGAGGCTGGCTTTGAGCTCACAATCTTTCTGCCTCAGCCTCCTGAGCTACTGGGATTACAGGTGTGCGCCACTGTGCCCGGCCACTTGTGGGATTATTAATGTTATTAGAGATGCTGCTGCTCTGGGCTTTATGAGTGCTAAAGTTTTTGTAGTTTTTTTTCATTATTTTATTCTAGCACAGCTCTTGGATAACCAGAATATTCAGTTTATTGAATGTGTTGATGATGGTTTATGTCTTAGATAGATAGCAAAAAAAATATGAACTTTTTTGGGGTGTGGGGTACTGGAGATTTAATCCAGGGGCACTTGACTACTGAGCTACATCTCCAGTTCTTTTTATTTTCTATTTTGAGACAGGGTCTCATTAAGTTGCTTAGGGCCTTCTAAAGTTGCTCAGACTGGCCTTGAACTTGAGATTCTCCTGCCACAGCCTCCAGAGTCACTGGGATTATAGTTGTGCACTACTACACCCAGCACAGACATTTTTATTTTTATTAAAAATTTTAAAATGCAAGAATCACCATTTTCTCCCTTAGTTATTATCATTCTGATTAAGCAGTTTTTCCCATCTAAGTTTATGAGACCCAGTTTAGTAGTAGTATGGTTTTTAATATTGTAAAATGTAACTTTTTGCTCAGTTTTTTATGGATTTATTTTTAAAAAGGAGTGATGTAAATCTTCTCTGTACCACATTCTTTGCATAATTTTTACTTAAATTGCTTATTTTTCCAGTGGCCAATGATAATGCTCCAGAACATGCTTTGAGACCTGGTTTCTTATCTACTTTTGCCCTTGCTACTGACCAAGGTAGTAAACTTGGGCTTTCAAAAAATAAAAGCATTATATGTTACTATAACTCTTACCAGGTAAGTTCATTATTCTCAAATAGTTTTCTGATTTTAATTATCCTTTGCTATCTTTAATATAAAATAGCCCTGTGTTGTGATGCTAAATATTTAGTTTTGAAGGGGATGAAATTTTAAAATTTTAACCTTTAAGTTGGTTATGTTAAAACTGTAGTAATTTCCTTAAGGTTTCTTAAATAAAGAACATGTCATCTCCAAATGGGTAAGTTAGATCACTGTTAACTCCAGGGTAAGTTAGATCATTGTTAATTCCAGTAGATGGTGCCATTAGCTAAATAAACAGTTATGATTTCTCAAACAATACACTTTTTTGTTGTTGTGACAGATAAAATTATTTCTTTGAAAGTCAAATGGATGTTATTTAAATTTGTTATTATTGCCCCTTTTTTGTGTGTGTGCTGGGGATCAAACCCAGGGCTTCATGCATGGTAGGCAAGAACTCTAGCACTGAACCACATCTCTAGCCCCTATCGTTGTAAATTCTGTTGTTTGAAATGCATATATAACAAATGAAGTTATTATTTGTGGGGAAGAAATTAAAATTGTGCTTTTATTTTTTGAAAGCTGATGTTGTTACATGTCTCTTGATCTCCAGCTACATTTTCTTAAGAATAATTTAATCCCTTTTGCTTTAGAGACATGTTTCTTAGGATATAACTCATTTGCCACAGATGACATATAATGACATTTTAAATTTTAAAATTATGTATTTTTCACATGTATTAGGACAAATAATCAAATCATCTGACCTACTCACCAATAAGAATTAGTTGAAGCTCAGTTTTTAAAAAAGTAGTTAACTTAATTTAAGTTGGTAATGTTTAGTTTATAAATTAGGCACAGTAAGAGATTAACAATATAACTTGCCATAGGTGTTAGCAACCTTGGTGTATAACTTTTTTTCTTTCCTTATTAAGTTGAAAACTTTCATCTTTTCACTTAAAGGAAGCTCTTTATGGCTTCTTTTTGGCATATCTGAATTGCCATCATTGCTTTTTGCATCTTGAGCCCATAGGTTACTTTAACACAAGCACTACCATGACAATCAAGCTGATCAAAAATGACTACTAAGTGACTAAAGTGGATAGCAGCATGTACATTTTGGATATGTTGAATAAAGGGCTAATCACTTCCTAGCCAGAATAGAGTGGTACAGTATGATATCTCATCATGCTATTAGAATGGCATGTGATTTAAAATTTATGAGTTATTTTTTGAATTTTCCACTTAATATCTTTGTAACATGGTTATATTGTGAGTATTGGAAACCTTAGAAAGGGATACTACAGATAAGGGTGGGGGATTGCTGTACTTGAATGACTAAGAAATTATTACCTTTAGCTATTATCAATTATTCATTGAACCTCTGTATGTAACATTTGAAAACTTTCACCTTGAAAACTTTTTGGGCTAAGTGGTATTAATGTCTCTAAAAGATAACAAGTATGTCCATTTTTTTGGAAATATTTACTTTGAGATTATTTATATTTTATAATATACCAGGTTAGGCTAATAACATTGCCTATTTAAAAATTTTTGAAAGATTCAGAATTTCAGTTGAGTTACACTACATTTTTACAATGTAACATTATTTAGATCTTATTTTCTTTGTAGGTGGTTCAGTTCAATCGTTTGCCTTTGGTGGTGAGTTTCATAGCCAGCAGCAATGCCAATACAGGTGTGTTTTTGTTACCTTAAATATAGCTTTTTTTTAAAAAAAAATTTATTTTTGTACTTGCAGGTGAACAGCATGCCTTTATTTTGTTTATATTTATATGATGCTAACGATTGAACCCAGTGCCTTATACATGCTAGGCAAGTGTTCTGCCACTGATCTACAACCCCAGCCCCTTAAATATAGCTTTTAATTTTTTATATTACTGTATCTGTGCAGTATAATAGAAATAATAAATTTCAATTCTGAAAACTGCCTAGCTCTGACATTTACTTCCCTTGACTTTGGGAAATAATTTCTCTGAATCTTGGTTTCCATATCTGTATAATAGAGCTGATAGTTGCTTTCTATGTCTTATGAGCTTATTTTCTAGTTCAAAAAGCAAATAAAAGTTTTTGAGATAGGAAGGAAGTTAAGTGTTATCCTGAGTGCTACATCTTGTTCATATTAAAATAGTTTAAGGAAACAGGGTGGAGAAGATAATCAAACAAAACCCACAGAATAATCAAAGATGATTTACCTCCATATAGACCAATCAAATTAAATTAGAATTTTTTAAATTGATAATGATGGTGGGAAAGATGATTGAGAATTTAAAGAGCATTAATAGAATGAAGACATTCCCATTCTTAAGTGCTGAAGAATTTGAGAACAAATACTAAGAAGCTGTACTTTCTATAGAGAATAGTAAAATTCTATGATATCCGAAACCCTTCACTGGGTATATATGTGTAAAATAATGGTATTGTTTAGTTGGGTTGATATATTTCATACCTATTTGGGTAAAGTGAGATTTTTTTTTTAAGTCACAAGTTATCCCATACTAAATAATTGAGTTATTATACATTGTATAATGTATAGACAGTACTTAGAACCTAAATTAAGGGAATGCTAGGTATGCTAATTTCTAGGTGAGTTTTTCTCTGAGATTTATCATTGAACATGTAAATATGTTTTATACTCTGGGAATGCTAGCTAGGTATGCTAATTTCTAGGTGAGTTTTTCTCTGAGATTTATCATTGAACATGTAAATATGTTTTATACTCAACCATTTGTCTTTATTGTTTCATTTGAAATACCCATTTATGTCTTAGCTTTATTGAATCTATTTAGTTTTGTTGTCCTTTGATCAATATTGAAGTAGCCCATTTACCTCTTTTAATGTAATGTTAACATATGCTCAGGAAAAAAATATTTCTTATTTAGTAAAAATAATGTGTATTATCGTCAATCAGTGCATATTTTGAAACAGATAAATTAAGATTTTCCTTTCAAAACTCTTTAACAAATTACAGTGCATGTAATTCATCTGTATCTACTAATAGAAACAAATATTTTTTATCCATCTACTTTTTAATAGTAAATGAAAATGGAACATAGGATTTGGGGTTACTTTATTCATAATTTGAATAATTGTTTTATTTCTGGGAAAATGTGCCTGATTTACTTTTTAGCAACTAAATTTTGGAAAAGGGGAAATTTAAGTTAATGACTTTCAGGAACATTTTTCTGACATTTTCTAATTCTTCAAATCTCTTTGTTTTAGGACTAATTGTCAGCCTAGAAAAGGAACTTGCTCCATTATTTGAAGAATTGATAAAAGTTGTGGAAGTTTCTTAATGGAAAAATGGTTTCTGATGTGTATATGGTCTTTATTGTAACAATACAATATCAATCCAGCAATCTTTAGAACACAATAATACTTTTATCTATGTACTCGAAAAGGCCCCTTTTCCCCCACCTTATACTAAAGAAAGAGCCTATAATGTATAGACAGATCAATTGTTATATTTACTTGCATAAGATCTTTTCTTATTTAGTGAGATCTGGGGATACCACAGAAATGGTTCAGTCTATCACAGCTCCCATGGAGTTTGTCCAGTCACCAGATATAAAAGAGATTCTATTCAGTGGATCAGAATCAAAATGGTACATTGATCCACTTGAGCCATTATGTGCTCCCTATTGTACAATACTCCCAGGCCTGCAGGAATGCAGCAGACCCTTTTTATTGTGAATAATAATGTCATATTTTTCTTTATATTGTTTTATTTCTTTACATTGATGTGAGGAAGACAAAGTAGCTTAGTAAAAGTAATAAAATCAGTACAATCACTAACGTTCATTTGGATATATTATTTTGTAGTATAGATGAAGATTACTAATTTCATTCTTCTCAGAGGGTGCTGCTCTTTAATGAAAAGAAAAATTATAGCTTATGGTGTTTTTTTCCTACTTTGCTTTCTATAACCAATCAGTGTTTTAATGTTTGTGTATCTTATAAAATTCAAATGTGATTTGTTATTGAATCCTGTTTCCAGTATCAGTATGTATATAAACATGATAGTATAGTCTTTTTTCATACATGAGTTTAAATAAAATAGTATTTTTAAAAATATAGTTTGAGCACCATATAGATATTTGTTTTTTCAGACTTTTCCCCAAAGTGTAAATAACATAATTAATTCATTCATTCAACTACACAAGTAAGTTTTGAACGTTTCTTTCAGATATTGATCTTAAGATTATTTTACCAAGTGTAAACTGTCAATTAGAAAACAAACCTCATCTGTGAGCCTAATATCTCCTTGAAATAAGTATCACAGTTCTAGTATATGACCTTTTTAGGTTCAGAAGGAATGCAGTACATCTTTCAGGTTGTTAATTTCCTTCTAGGTTCTTTGATAATTAGTTTGTCACTAGTGTAATTCAGTACATATACTTTGAACACCTCCTATGTGCCAGTCCTCAGCGCTTCCACACTGCACAGTTCTAAGAAGCATTATTCATACCATATTTTTCCACCCTGGAGGTTGACTTTCACAATGGAATGTTTTTGAATGCAGTCCTTAAAATTATGTAGTGAAGCATTCAGGGAAGCAGTGTGCTGCTTTTCCTTCCTCCTCCTTTCCAACACAAATATGAGATTAACTTGTCATATCCTCCTTTAAAGAAATTATTGTTTTTACCAAACAAGTATAGAACATGCTGTAATAAAGCCGTACAGAAGGTATTATAGAATCACAAAACAGGAGCAGTTAAAATGGACTAGAGGGCTAGGGATGTAGCTCAGTGGTAGAGTGCTTGCCTAGCATTTTCAAGGCCCTGAGTTCAGTCTCTAGCACTTCAAAAATAAAATGGACAAAAACTATGCTTTACAAAAAAAGTAATAGCAACTGGATAGGCTTTTTGTTTGTTTATTTTGGGGGAGTACTAGGGATTGAACTTGGGGGCACTCAACCACTAAGCCACATCCTCAGCCCTGTTTTGTATTTTATTTAGAGACAGGGTCTCACTGAGTTGCTTAGTGAGACCTCAGTTGCCATTACTGAGGCTGGCTTTGAACTTGTAATCATCCTGCCTCAGCCTCCCAAGCCACTGATATTACAGACATGCACCAACATGCCCAGCCAGATAGTGTTTTCTCTGTAGGAAACTATAAGTAGTTTAATTGTTACAACCTAATTAAACATTAGAAAAGCACATTAAAATATAGAATTTCCATTATCTAATAATGTCTTGATGATGAAATGGTATATGAAGCAGTGTTTTAGAAATGAGGTGGCCCAATTTTATTTTGAGGGTAATAAATTTAAAACTCCAGGAAAAACTAATAAATGTAGTAAATCTTTGCATGTTACCACTGCTCCTATTCTATTTGAGAGGGTATAATAAATAAATTAGTCTACAGTTTGGTGAAAATCCCCGAGTTTTTTGAAAAAGTAACATGAAACTAGGTTATTTTATCAAGAGAAGGAAATAAAAGGAATAAAAATAGCAAAGGAAGAAGTCAAATTCTCACTGTTTGCTGATGATATGATCCTACACTTAGAAGATCCAAAAAACTCCATCAAAAGACTACTAGAGCTAATAAATTCAGCAAAGTAATAGATTATAAAATTAACATACATAAATCAGTAACCTTCCTATATCCAAAAATAAATCTGCTAAGGAAGAAATCAGGGAACCAATCCCATTCACAATGTGCCCCCCCTCCAAAAAAATCCTAGGAATAATCTAATGAGGGCAGTGAAACACCTCTCCATTGAAAACTATAGAATATTGAAGAAAGATAGAAAGACCTCCCTAGTTTATGAATAGGAAAAATTAATACTGTTAAAATGGCCACAGTACCAAAAGCAATATACAGATTCACTGCAGTTCCCATCAAAATACCAGTGACATTCTTCACAGAACTAGAAAAAAAATTGGTCCTTGAATTTATTTGGAAGAATAAGACCCAGAATAGCCAAAAAATTCTTAAAGTCAAAGAGCAATGCTGGAACCATCACAATACCTAACTTCAAATTAGTAAAGATCTATAGTAACAAAAACATCAAAGTACTTGTATAAAACAAATGGTAGACCAGTGATACAGAGTAGAAGACTCAAAGGCATTATAGTCATCTGATCTTTGACAAAGTTGCCAAAAACACTGGAGAAGTGACAGCCATTTTAACAAATGCTGCTGGGAAAACTGGGTGGCCATATATAGAAGAATGAGACTAGACCCTTATCTCATAGCCTGCACAAAAATCAACTCAAAGGTATAGGAATTAAACCAGAAACTATGCAATTGCTAGGAGAAAGCATAATGTCAACACTTCAACATAGAGGCATAGGCAACAACTTTTCTCTAATGGGACCCCAAAAGCTCAGCAAATGGTATGGCATCAAATTAAAAAGCTTCTGCACAGAAGAAATAAGATTGTGAAGAGGATTTACAGAATTGGAAAAGATCTTGGCTAGCTACTCTTCTGACAGAGGATTAATATCTAGAATACATAAAGAACTTGACACCAAAAACATCCCCAATTAATAAATGGGCGAATGAATTAAACAGACGCTTCTCAAAAGAAAAAATATAGATGGCAAATACATGAAAAAGTGTTCAACATCATTAGCAACTAGGGAAATGCAAATCAAATTTACACTGAGATTTCATCTCATTTCAGTCAGTATTGCGGTCATCAAGAATACAAACAATAATAAATGCTGGGGAGGATATAGAGAAAAAAGAACATTTTTACACTGTTGGGATTGTAAATTAGTACAACCACTATGGAAATCAGTATGGAGGTTCTTCTAAACACTAGGCATGCAACCACCATATAAACCAGCTATACCTCTTCTTAGTATTAATCCTAAAGAATTTTCCAGGTGTGGTGGTGCATGCCTATAATAACAGCAGCACTGGAAGCTGAGACAGGAAAATCAGGAGTTTAAATCCAGCCTCAGCAACAATGAAGCACTAAGCAACTCAGTGAAAACCTGTCTCTAAATAAAACACAAAATATGGCTGGGGATGTGGCTCAGTGGTTCAGTGCCTCTGAGTTCAAAACCCCAGGAACTTCCCTACCGCCCCCCCCCCAAAATCATCATATTATAGTGATATGTGCATACCCATGTTTATAGCAGCACTGTACACAATAACCAAACTATGGAACCAGCCTAGATATCCACCAACAGATGAATGGATAAAGAAAATGTGCTTTCTATACACAGTGGAGTTTTATTCAGCAATAAGGAAAAAATGAAATTATGTCATTTGCAGGAAAATGGAGGGAACTTGAGAACATTATGTTAAGCAAAATAAGCCAAACTCAGAAGGTCAGGTGTAATATGGTTTCTCTCATAAGTGGAAGCTAGAGATGAAAAAGGAAAGGAAAATGTAGAGGTGATCACATGAAAACCAAAGGGCTATCAGAATAGAGGAAGGGAACCAAGGGGAGAGAATGGGGATGTGCTAGGGAGGGCTGTTGGCCATATACTATGCACATGTACTAATATGTAAAAACAAATCTCATCATTATGTACAACAATAGTGCACAAATAATGGAGGGAAAAAAGCTAGATTATTTTTAGAAGGCAGTATGAAACTAGTTGCATGGTACAAAACTAGGTAGATCAATGGAATGAACTAATCCCAAAACAATTTTCCTAAAATTTTGTAAAGGACTGAAAACATTATAAAGATGGCATCATAAATTAATGAGAAGGAATTATTCATTAAGTGTGACAGATTTTTTTGTCTTACTAGTAGAAGTAACACAATCTTTGGTCCAGCTATTCTATTTCCAGCAATTTGTCCTACCAATGCATATAGAGATGTGAGATTACATATTTATAAGCCTAGATTTTGCAACTTGATACTGTCAAAGGTTGGAAGCTACCTAAATATCTACCCTTGATAGGATAATGACAAATTCTGGTTTTTTGCACAACACCAATATATATATACTTTTGTTTCTGGCATAATTGTTTATAGTGCTCTTTTCACTCTCAAATCTCCCACTGTAGATAGAGGTTTGGTGAAATAAATTGCTACGTTTTCCCAATAGAGAAAGAAATAAGGAAGTGCTTCAGGTATTAAAATGAAATGATCTCCAAGGCATAATGTTCATTGAAAAAAGCATGGTTTGAAACTGACATGATAAAATGTGTATGAAGAAAAATATATGTGTATATTCATAAGTTGTTTATGATAGATGATTTGTATATTTAGATAATCTCCGAAGAGGTGCATGAAAGAAAGAATTAGTGGAAGATTACCTGGTTGTCTGTTCAGGAGTGAGCCTTTTCACTGTAAACTTCATTGTACTTTTTGAATTTTTAACTATTCAAAAATAATAAAAATAAATTAATAAAAATATTTCAGCAAGAAACAGAATTATGAGATAATTTGGGAAGAAAATTGTATTAGGGTCCTTTAAAGAAGTGGAACAAGTAGAATATATATTTATCCTTTTTATTTCAAGGGATGGTTTATATATTTGTGAGGACTGGCAAGTCCGATTGTGTAACATGTTGGAAGGCCAAAATTTTCAGGCAAGACCTGCTACTGTGGTTTTGAAGTAGAATTTTTTCCTCCTGGAAACCTCAGTTTTGTTCTTATGGCCATTTAACTGATTGTAGGAGTCCTCCCCACATTATGGAGAATAATCTCTTTGACTTAAATTCAAGAGATTGTAGTTAGTAAGCACATCTTACTAACTACATAACCACAAAATACCTTCATAATCACATTTAGATTCATGTTTGATTGAATAATAACAGTCTATCCTTGCTGTTATGGTTTGGATGTGAAATGTCCCCCAAAAGCTAAAGTCGGAGACAGTGCAAGAATGTTTAGGGGAGAAATGATTGGATTATGAGAGCCTCAGTATAATCAATGAATTAGTCCCCTGATGGGAATTAACTGAGTGGTAACTGAAGGCTGGTAGGGTGTGGCTGGAGGATGTGAGTCCCTGGGGGCATGGTCTCAGGGTATAAATTTTGTATCTGGTGACCGGAGTGTCTCTTTGTTCTCTGACCATCACGTGAGCTGCTTCCCTATGCCACTCTTCCATCTTGATGTTAAGCCGCACCTTGAGCCCTGAGGAATGGGGCTGGCTATCT